AAGAGAGTTGCATGCATTTAATAAAGGACGATACTGATCATTAACGAGATTTAAATCGAGATCTTTTATTGCCATTTGAGCATAGCATGCAGCTAATTCATTGAATGGTTCAATTGAGTCAATCAAATCTTGGTTACTAACGACATCAATTCCACCCTTACGAATCTGATCAAACGATGGAAGTAAGTCAGCTACACTTTTTATTATTGGTGAATCCATCCATATTCTTTCCATACAATAGTCTTTTATAATTGTGTCTAATTGTTCACAACGATCTGCATTAGGTAAATCAGCAGCTGCATTTAATTTGTCAAAAATAGACTTCTTTAATGTCGATCGACCAGATTGTATACCTTGAACTTGTTGAGCCACATAATCTTCAAAAATGAACATCGATTCGTTGACTGTCGTGTCATCGTTAGGTAGAACAAATAAGTCACACGTATATGTTCGCTCTTGACTTAAGCCACACACGACATTGTGGAATCTTCCACGCATTTCAAAATTTGAATGAGATGTGTTCACTTGGTTCATAATAACAAATTTGCGAATACTAATAGGAAGGAACGTAGTATCAACATCAGGTAACAAAACTAGAGGTGAGTGCAAAAAAGTATCCAGTAAACTTGGATGAAGCAAATGATAACAAGAGAGATCAATAATTGCATCAAGATTACTCTGAATTTGAGCAACAATTGTAGATGTCGTACCACATAATGATTGTATGTTTTGGAAAGAAGGTCCATATTGATAACCTCGTGTTGATAAATGATTATAAATACTGGTTGCGTCAGTCGTGGACCAAGTATTGTAAGTTGGTCTGGAAGAAAGTAGTGTTGTTAGTTTTTGTTGAGCACCGTCCATCTCAATTTGACCATGAGCATGTAAAGTGAATTCACGTAATGAATATTGATTAAGAGTTTCTGGATCGATAAAAGAATCGACAACATCAATACTTGCCATGCCTGATGAGCGCATACAATCTGAACCAGCTGATGTCCATGGTCGACTATAGACAAACCATTTACGAACTGGTATGACAATTTGTGTGAACACTTCTGTTAACTCATGCTCATTAAGACTGAGAGCCTTGACAAATTTGATTTCTTTTAGAACAATTGAAGATTGCTCTTTGTCTGATGATAGAAATAATTGGTGATAGGCAGCTGTTACAAGTTCAAGATAGGCAGCAGCTGGAAAGAGAATTGTATCTTGAATTTTATGATCTTTCAAGTAAGCATATTGTGGTAGATTGATATTGATGAGACTTTTCCATGTAGCACTTGTTTGTCCTGTTAATTGACGAACACCAAGTAGAGGATGAATAGGAATACGATTAGCCAGACGTTTAATAACTGAATCTTTTGATTCATACCAACATGGACTAAGATCAAATGCATACAATGGAAAATCATCAAATAGTTGTTCATTATCTATCATCGGTAATATATCTCGAGTTTGAAAATATTGTTGCCAAACATAGGACGATGTCGTTAGTTGTGCGAGACTAGTAAGCAATGTTATTTGTTCATTTTCTTTTCGTTTCAGTGTTGGAAGAATCAGTGGTTGACTATTTGTCGACTGATAACACTCTCCAATAGATGTAGCCAAGACTGGATGTGGCGAAAGTTCAAGAAAAACAGTTGGGGCATCATGCTGTTGAATTGATGCCACAGCATCACGAAATCGAACACATTGTCTCACATTGGACCACCAATAATGAGCATCGACTGGTATCTGATCACTTAATTTATTACCAGTCACACTCGAATAAAGATTAGCTTCGGCGCACTTTAGATTGAACACTTGTTCAGAGTCTTTCAGAGGAAGTCCTTGGATATCACTAAGTGACGATAACATCTCTTTTTCTATGTCGAATCGATCCATCTGATACGAATGAAATGCATTTTCAATACGAAGACGAGCTTTGAAAACATTGGGATAAAATGTTGAGAGAGTTTGTTGTAGTTCATCGATAATCTTTTCATCTCCACTCAACGTGACGGAGCGAGGACCATTAACAACAGCAATGCAAACAAGATGTTCAATACCTTTGAGAAGTTTATTTTGTACTTCTTCTTCACTCATGGATACGGCTAACATACGACCACCTTGTCGTGTATTACGATTTTGAAGACGTGATCGATGATAAACAATACGAACAGCTTCTTGCAAAGTGAGGCGACCGGCAACAAAAGCAGCTGCTTGATCACCAGCACTATGTGATACGATTGTCGAAGGATAAATATTCCATGAGACAAGTAAAGCAGCGAGTCCAACTTGGATAGCGAATAAAGCTGGTTGAGCAATATTTGTATCATTAATACGAGATTCTTGTTCACTTGTTTTGCCAATTAATTCTTCCAACAGACACCATTCACCATTGTTGATCTTTGCCATTTCCGCATCGATCAATTGAATCCATCGAGTAAAAACAGGTTCAATTTCATATAATTGTCGACCCATAGCCCACCATTGAGGACCTTGTCCACTAAAAACGAAACATATCTTTGCTAGTGATATTGTGGGACGCACGAATATTGAAAGACCAGGTAATGACTCTTCAGCAAGAAAGGCGTTGATTTGTTCTTGGAGTTGGTTAATATTGGCAAATACAAAGATGGCTAAGTGTGCATGACTAATAGTACGCTTTAGAAGAAGTTGTTGAGAGATGCGTTGAAGAAATGCATAATTATTATCCATATCAGTGATTGATATCTTTTGGAACCATTGATTGAATTGAGCTACTTGATTATTTAGAGATTTACGACTTTTTGCTGAAAGAGAAAAAAATTAAATACACTATTTGATCAGACAATATTATGTTTATGTAACTTACTTGAGAAGATAAAAACGAAATATTGTTTACTTTCGATATCATTTTTCTGAACCTGATTATTTTCAAATTTGTTCGTAGCTGATGTTTTATTTGCTTGATATTCTTCAACAATAGCATGTGCATTGTTGCCTCCTATGCCAAATGAATTAATGCCCATAGCTATAGAATCAATATCATTGCCTAAAGGAAATGGTAAGGAATGTTGTACAACGTGAAGATTATATCGTTGTGCTTCAATTTTTGGATTTAATGATGCGAAGTGCATATTTGATGGAATACTCCGATGATGCATACACATGGCAATCTTGATTAATCCGGCAACACCAGCTGTTCCTTCTGTATGTCCTAAATTACTTTTAACAGAACCAATTAATAATGGTGGATCAAAACAAGATCGATTGAAAAATAGACCTAAACAATTAGCTTCGATGGGATCACCTATTGGCGTACCAGTGCCGTGTGCTTCGACATAAAAAATACGTCGAGGATCAAAGTCTGCTCGCTTGTAAATATCATTGAGTAGACGTGTCTGACCAGCAGCTGATGGAACAACAAAACTGTTCTTATCTTCACTTCCATCATGGTTACTAAGTACATCACGAATAACACAATATATACGATCATTATCACGTTCAGCATCACTCAATCGTTTCAAGAGTAGAAGACCAAGACCATCGCCTTTTGCATAACCATTTGCATCGACGCTAAACGATCGACTTCGTCCATCAGGGGATAGAACGCCCATAATTGAACTATATAAGAAAGTTTCCGGTGAATAGACAGCATTCACTCCACCACATACAGCCATGTCTGCTTCGTTTGTGCGAAGACTTTGTACAGCTAAATGTACAGCCTCCAGAGACGATGAACACGCAACATCCAATGATACGTTAGGACCTTGTAAATTAAAATGATAGGATAATCGAGCAGCAGCATTGTAGAGTAAACTATTAGGACCATGAAATCTCGATCGATGCTCTGGTTCGATGCGAAATGATGTTCTAGTATGATCTGCAGAAGCCTGTCCAATATGAACAGATGTTTTAGAACCATTCATTTTCTCTATACTATAACCAGCATCATCAAGTAAATGGACAAACTTAAGCATGAGTAGTCGATGACATGGATCAATACTACCCGCCTCAGCATCGGACAGACCAAAGAAACTTGGTTCAAACATATCCCATCGATTATTTGATAGGAAATATCCTCGACGAATAAGTTTCTGACGAAATTGTCCATCATTATCCTTGTTAAACATATGAGCACAATAAGACTCGAGATCAAGTCGATCACGCGAGATTGCACTACCTACATCTTGGCTCTCTTGTAACGCTTGCCATAAATCATTGGCAGAATGAATATCACCTGCAAATTCGCAAGCTATGCCCACGATAGCCACTGGTTCTAATCGATTGTTGGAAGTTGACATCGTAATTTACCAAATATGAATTAATGGGTAAATACGAGAAATAAATGAAAGATCTAAAAACGTATAAATCTAAAATACACAAATATAAAAGAAAATTTTTATATTTTAAACACAAGACCGAGATAAAAACACGACTTTTTGAGCATCCTTACCAATCATTTACTGTCGATCTAGAAAAAAAAAATCGAAGTTTTTATATTATTCCAGTAATAAATTTTTTGAGTATGACTGATTTTTTGATTACCTTTGTGAAGTATTTCATGTCAAACAAGTTATTTTGAACACTATAAGATATAACCTTCAGAAAGATGAGAGGGTGTGGGTATGATACAGAGAGACGATCAGTAACCACACTCAAACCCACATCCATACCCTCGAGAAAATGTTCTATATTAATAAAAAAAATCGAATATATACCTGATAAAGAACAATACTAATAAGATCTTGTTTAAAATCTTAAATTGATGGTAGATTTAAAATAGGTGGCAAACGTTCTTTTAATAAATGAGTATTATCATGAATCAATGAAATATTTGATTTTTAAAAAATATTTCCTGATTTATCATGCCATAATTTATTTAGTTGTTCTGTAAAAATATAAAACTGATGTCGAAGAGTTTTTTTTTGATTGATAATCATTACAATGAAAATTTATTTTTGAATGTTTTGATAAAAACCATTGAAGATTAAATTGACTTGAATTTTCTGGAATTTCAAATTGATATTCATTTAATTTAATTTAATTGTACTTTTTGATGATATTTGTTGAAATAATTCATTTAATAGTTTTGTTACTAATGATGAATGTGTTAGAAATGTCATTTTAATTAAATTTTTCATTAGGGTTTGATCTTTATTAGTTTTAATTTCATTGAATAATATGATATTATTATGAAATTATTATTACCGCTGTTGGTGTGCCTGCTGAACTACTAGTAAAGATTACAAAAGCGACATTTTAGAGTTTATTGTGAAAGTTGAAAATAGATCTAAATGATTTATATTGATTGTTTCATTATTATTATTTATTATCATTGTATTAATATTGATTATCATCGTTGTCTTTTCGAATTTATTTTGTGTTGTCCAATCTACTAGAACTAGATTACTTTGAGTTTGTTCGATAAAAGATTGAAGACGATGTTCATGATCTCGAGGTGATAATGAACAATAAGAACCACCAGCCATAATAATAGATAACATACCAATAAACTATAACACAATAATAATGAATTAATTAAATAGAAAATAGTTCGTTTCATATAAGATAACTTACCATTGATATACTACGGTCTATACATTGACAAATAACATTACCAGGAATATAATTTGAATTTGTTAGAAATTCAAGAGATAAACATTGTGCGTAATATAATAACTCATTATAACTAAGAGATTGTTCATCAAGTTCTATGGCTATCTTTTGTTATTGTTTATTTACTTGCTGAATAAATTCATGTTGTATACAATGATTCGATGAAGAAAATAAAGTTTGAGTATTATTGATTGATGCCATAAGAATCTTTTCATTAGGTAATATTATTGAAGATTTATGAATCGCTTGACAAGTTTCATTTATTAAATCTGATGTGAAAAGTTGTTGAAGTAAAATTTGAAATCGTTATCCAATTTTATATGTTGTTGATGGATTGAATAAATCAAGAGATGCCTCGATTGAACATGATAATTGACCAGTTATATTATCATATATAATACTTAGATAGAAATCAAATTTACTTGCAATTTCATCTGTATTTATTTGAATTGAATAAGGCATAGTATAAATAGGAACATCTCCTAATGTCACTTCATTATGATTATCATCAGTTGGAGAAGAAACAAATCCAAAGAATACATCAAGAAATGTAGGACGAGAAATATGTGGATGTTGAGCAAGAATACGTTGAAGAGGAAAATAAGAATGTTCGAATGTTTGTGTTGCTATTGTTTGTACATATTTTACAAATTCACGCAATGAATGATTAGAATTAATTTGACATCGCATTGGAAGTGCATTAACAAACATTCCAATAATTGACATTAATTCAGGTTTCGAACGACCATGATTATTCATAACAACACATATATCATTTTCATTATTGGCTAATTTAAATAAGAATGTATAATAAGAAGCAAGTGCTAAATATTCAAGTTTAATATTATATGTTGATGCATAAGTTAGAAATGCTTTTGAAAGATCGTTATCAAATTGAAATGAAATTGAAGTTCCACGACCTGTACGATGTTCATCAGAAACACGATGTCGATCAAATGGTAATTGTAAAGGCCGATCGATTTCACAATCACGAAGAGCACCAAGCCAAAAAGCATTGGCAGCTGTCATCGGCATTTGTTGTTCAGCTACAGCATCTTAAATAAAATGAAAAGTATGTCAGTATAAAATATAAAAACAATAAACTAAATAAGTTAACACACAATCAAGACAACGCAAAGTTGTATTATCATCAGTTTCCAAGTAACCCATTGTATATGCCTGATCAAGATCTTGACAAAACATTTTCATTGATGGAAAATCAAATAAAGCATGATGAAAATTAAAGATAAGTGCATCTTTTTCACAAATGATTCCTTTTTGAGAAATGTTTTTATAATAAACAACATGACATCGACAAACAATACCAATTAATAGATTAAAATTATTTGGATTACCACGTTCATTATGCATAATTTTATTGAGATCTTCATCTGTTTCGAAAGTACCTTCAATAAATGTAAATAAGTCTTTATTATCAGTATGATCAATAATCTTTTGCATTAATAGATTTTTATTTGTATCGAAATAGAGTGATGTACGAAGAGCAGAATGTTTTATAAGAACATGTTGTAAAGCTTGACGAAGTTTAGATATTGATAGAGTACCAGCTGATGAAAGTCGATGAAGAAATGGCATATTATATATGGCAACTTTTGAATTTTTTGAATCAAAACGAATTCGTTCATCAAGCCAAATACGTGCTTGAGCATATGATGCTGGTGCTATATAATAATAATAAGAACATTAAAAGATGAATATACTTAATTTTGATGGGAATGGATAAGGATGTAGGTGTGAATCCTGTACATGCATATTTCTATCGTCTAATAATTTTTTCAAATACATTAAAGACATACATACCTTCATTTATAATATCCGGTTGTCGACAAAAAACTATTCGTTCCATTTCATGAACTTTTTCTGGTAAAATAAGACTAAGTTTAGTAATAGGTGAAACAAGAATATCAGTTTGACTAATATTAGAATCCATTGAAAATAATTGCTCAATAAGATATTAAAATCGTCAAACAATTTTTGTAACTGTCATATCTTCGAATAAATCATGTGAACAAACAATACGACATGATAACATATCATCATTTGACATTGGATTGTAAATAAATGTTAACATAAAATCAAATTTAGCAATTTCAACGGATTGTTTTAATTCAATTGGTTTTAAATTGACATCATCGAAAGAAAATTGATCAATATCAGGAGATCGAGTAATAAAATCAAATACTGTCTGAAGAAAAGAAACATTAGATTGATTAGCATGAATATCATTTAGAATATTTTGTAATGGATAATGAGAATGTTCAAGAATTGATATACATTTATCTTGTACTTGTTTAACAAGTTCATTAAATGACCAACTAGAATCAAGTTTCATACGATATGGTAATGTTGAAATAAACATTCCCATCATATTTTGTAATTCAATTTTATATCGATTTGCATTATGACAAGAAATACATAAATCATTTTGATCTTGAGTTAATTTAAATAGGAAAATATAAAATAATGCCATACCTAATTGAAATGAAGTAGTTTGATGTGTAGAAACATAATTAAGAAATGATTTCGAAATATTTATATCAAAAGAAATCTAAGCAATTGAAGCAAAACCAGATCGTTGATCATTAGATAAGCATTGTTGATCAGTCGATAATGATAATCGATGTTCAAAATCATAGTCTTTCAATTCTAGAAGTCAAAATTCACGTGATGGTGTCATATCAATTAAACGTTCATGAACAGAATAATCAATATATTGTAATAAATCTTCATCACCTGTCCATTTTATATTTGTATTATAAGCAAAACAAAGATCATTTAGAAAAAGTTGATAAGCTGAACGATCTGTTGCAGCATGATGAAATGCTATAAGAAGAATATCAGAATCTGTAATGAATCTATTATTATCATTATTATTATTATTAGATATGATTTCTTGTCGAAGTACTTCACAATGAAAAACACGACCAGTTGATATATCAAATAAACTAGGATTAATAATTGTTTGATAGAGAATATCTTGAAGTTCATTTTCATTTTTAAATGTTTGATTGGGAACAAGTTGAAATATACGACGTCTATTATCAATATGTTGTTCAAGAATTCCATTATCATTGTTAAAACTAATAACTGTACGTAATATTTTATGTTTATTTAAAATATATTCAATAGCTGCTAATAGACGATTTATTGATATTGAACCTTGAATAATTTTTAAAGCAGTCAATTCATTATAGATAGCAATTTTATTAGAAAAACGCATTTGTTCATCAAGAAAAATACGTTCTTGAGCAAAAGATGCAATACCTTGATTGATATGTAGTGTATGCCAATGTACTGATCTCATTTGATTGATTGTAATAGATTGAAGTAATTGTGAATGTTGAAGAATAGTTGGTTGTTGAAGAAATAAGGCAATAGAAAGTACACGATTATCAAAATCATATAATTGTTTATATCGATGATAAAGTTCAATAAATAAAAGTGAATGACCACCAATACTAAAGAAATTTGCAGTTATTGAAATTTGTTGTCCAATATATCGAAGAATTTCACACCAAATATCATGTATCTGTTTTTGTAATTGATTTTGTGGAAGATTAGATCTGTTTTCTAATCCTGTTGTTGATGATGATGATGATGAGAGAGTCAATAATGATAAATCCGGTGGTGGAAGACGTTTTCGATCTACTTTTCCATTTGGACTCAAAGGTAGTTTTTCACGTATAATAAATATTGATGGAATCATATGTGATGGTAGATTAGATTGACAATGATGACGTAATTGTTCAACATTAATACTATCACTTTGAATATAAGCAATAAGATGATTTTCATCCCATTTAATAACAACACATGTAGTAATGGATATTAATATAAGTAAACATTGTACAATTTCTTATAATTCAATACGTTGTCCACGTAATTTCACTTGAAAATCTCTTCGACCAACATAATGAATCAATCCATTGCTATCTATTTGAACAAGATCACCTGTTTTATAAAATATTTGCTCATTAATATTAATCATCACTTGAGCTGTTAAATCATCACGGCCAAGATATCCAGCAAAAACACCAACACCTCCAACAACTAATTCTCATTCTTGTCCAATACCACCAGTTTGTAAGAACATGTCTAATATTAAAAATTGATAATTAGGAAAAGGTTGACCTATTGGAATATCTGTTTGATTTTTATTTAGGTCAATTAGATGATTGATACAATTAATAGTAAGTTCAGCTGGACCATAATGATTTCGAATTCGACATTCACTTCTCACTTGACTTCTCAATAGATTAACTAGTTTATTGTTGAGAACTTCACCTATGATAGAATAAGTCAAAAAGAATATGATAATAATATAACATAATAATTCTAAAATAACAATGACTAACCACCACTACATACAGTTCGTAACCATTGTACTGACGATTTTCGATTAGTAGTATTGAGAAAATTAAATAGACTATTCCATAAAGATGGAACAGTATGCATAGCAGTAATCTGTTTTTCATTCAACACTCCTGCAAGATAATCTAAATCCATGTGACCTTCTGGTCGAAGCATTATTAATGTAACTCCAATAGTTAATGTACCAACAAGACTGAATAGATGATTATCGAAAGAGCATCGAGCCATTTGTATTATTGTATCAGTTTTTTTAAATATATCAGCATAAACAAATGAGCGTAAAAATTGAGTGAAATTTCGATGGCGTAATTGAACCTAATAAAACATGAATATATTAAAAAATACATATTGTCAAGAAAGAAAAGATATTATACAAACCGCTTTCGGAATACCAATTGATCCACTAGTAAAAATTACAAAGAGAATATTTTCTGATGTTATTGGTACATTTGACATTTGAGTCAGATGAATACTAGTAGAATTTCTTTCATTATTTATAATTGTATCAATATTTAAAGTTACAATATCGATTTCAAAAAGAATGCGTGTAGACGAATGAACAAGAACTAAATGACTTTGAGTTTCTTTCACAAGCATTTGTAGACGTGGTGAAGGATCTTGTGATGATAAAAGGACAATAGGCACCATCAGCCATAATAATTGATAAAATGCCAATGACCTAAAGAGAAATGAAGGATATACTATATACATATTATTATAAACAATATTTTCTAAATATATTTACCATAGATAAACTTCGCTCTACACATTGACAAATAATATCACCCGATTTCACATTGTATTTATTTAATAAGACGAGAGAAAGTTGTTGAACATAATATAAAAGTTCTGTATATGTTAATGATTGTTCATCAAGTTCAACAGCTATTTTTTGTGGATGTTGTATTACTTGATAAATAAATTCATGATGCATACAAGTGGCAGAAGGAAACAATACTTGTGTATTGTTCGTTGACTGTATAAGTAATCGTTCATTTGATAACATTATTGACATTTCATAGATTGATTTATTTTTCATTATATCATTAACAGATGTAAATAAATCATATAATTATGAATGAAATTGTTGTAAAATCTTATTTATTGTCTCTTGATTGAATAAATCGAGTGATGCATTAATTATATATGAGAATTGATTTATGGTGAGATCATATTGAATAGTGAGAATGAAATCAAACTTGCTCACAACTTCATCTTCATTGATTGTAAATGATAATGGAATACTACAAAGTTCACTATCACCAATCAGTATTTTCTTCTCAATAGTCACAAAATCAAAAGACACATCAAGAAATGTAGGCTTTCAACAATCAGAATGTTGTGCAAGAATATGTTGAAGAGGAAAATATGAATATTTCATACAATTTGTTGCCATTTCTTGAACATATTCAACTAGTTGACGAAATGAATCATCACGATCTAATTGACATCGCAATGGAATAAGATTTTCATATAATCCAATGATTGATTTGAATTCATATTTATATCGAGTATGTGTATTCATTCCAATACATATATCTCTTTCTCCATTAGTTAACTTAAATAAGAACATATAATAAGCGGCAAGTGCTAGATGTTGAAGTTCTATATTGTTTGTTAATGCATAGTTAAGAAAATCACATGAAAGATCTTGGCCAAAATCAAATGAGATCAATCAAGATTACAACCAAGAAGAGCATCAAGCCAAAACATACTTGCACTAGTCATCGGCATTTGTTGTTCAATAAGAGCATCTAAATAAAAAGAAAAGAAAAGAGATAAGATCGATCTATTAACAAAGACAAATATGAGAAATATATACAATCAAGATAACGTAGATCAGTATTATGATTGATAGGTAGTTGGTTTGTCATATATGCTTGATTGAGATCATGAAGAAATATTTTCATTGATGGGAAATCAAATAAAACATGATGAAAATTAAAAATAATTCTATCTTTATCACAAAGAAGATTATTTGAAGAAATTTGTTTATAGTAAAGAATGTGGCATCGAAAAACAAGACCTTGATCAAGATGATAAATTTGAGAATTGCATTTCTCATCATACATAATTTTGTTAAGATCTTCATCTGTTTCGAAAGTACTTTCAATAAATGTAAATAGTTTTCTAGTATGATCAATGATATCAATAAATCGTTGTATAAGTTTATTTGTTTCATTATCGAAAATAATTGATGTTCAAAGTGATTGATGTTTTGTAAGAATGAGTTGAAGTGCATGAGGAAGTTGTGTAGTGTAGTTGATAATGTATGTTTTGAATGAAGACGATAGAGAAAAGGCATATTATAGATAGCAACTTGTGCTTTATCTGGATCGAATCGAATTCGTTCATCAAGCCAAATACGAGATTGTGCATAAGAAGCTGGTCCTTAACAGAACAAAGACTATATAAAATACAAATCTATACAAATATTCATACCTTCATTCTTAATATTAGGTAATCGATGAAAGATTGTTTGTTGTATTTCTTTAGGTTCATTCTCCAGACAAAAACATAATTTCGATATTGGTTAATTAACTAAGTCAAATGAAGATGGATGTTTAACAAACAATTGTGAAAGAAGATGTTGAAATTGTTTTGATAGTTCTTCTACTGTTTCGATATCAAATACATCTTGTGAACAGATTAGAGAAAATGATATTGTTTGATTTTGACCTGTTGGATCATGAAAAAATAATAGTTTCATATCAAATTTAACAACATTTTGCGTTTGTTTCAATGGTACTGGCTGAAATTCTGTTTGATTTACACATAGAAGATCACTATCAGATGAATAAGTAATCAAATCAAATAATATATTGAGAAAAGCAGCAGGTGAATGTTTATAATCTAAATCTTGAAGTAATTGTTGAACAGGATAATGTGTATGACCAACAACTGAAAACAATTCATTTTGAACTTGTTTGAGAAGATGATTGAATGAATAAGACGCATCAATTTAAATTCTATGCACTATCCAGGTGCACCAATCCCATATTCGGATCCTATGCCGGATTCTATCGGAATCCGACGATCCGACAAAATCCTATAGGATTCCTGGTGACGGAATCACTTCGGATTCCGTTGTGGTCGGATCCCATCGGATCCAACATCGGATCTCACAATTTCCAACAAACGGATCTAGACGGATCCGATAGGTGACCATAAGGCCATCATAGAAAATAGCTAAAAACGCCGCCTATCAAATTTGCAGCAAGTGACTGAAAATTTTCCGTACGGAATCGAATGCAAATCCGTCACCAGGAATCCAATCAGATTCTGTCGGATTATCGGATCCTATAAGATCCGATCGGATCCAACGTTCGATTGGTTGACCTGGGTAATGTTGCAACAAGCATACCAATTAGATTTTGTAATTCTGTTCCGTATCGATTAGCGCCTATACATAAACCACATAGATCATTTTCATTATCACTTAATTTCTACCAAAATCAATGAGATAAATTAAAAACTCACTCAAACAGTGTAGTCTTTTGCGAAAAACTATATTCAAGAAATGAATGTGTGAAACCATTCACAAATGGAATATCAAAACCGTACGCCAAACCTGAATTTGGATCAGTTACTAGACAATCACGCTCAAAAAGTAAAATGACACGATGCATTATACTCAATCCATGAACATGTGATTACAACAAACGACACCATAACAATACTTCCATTCCACTCCATCAAAAATTCATCGAATAATACTTTAGAATCGACCTCTTTTACTAACTAATACACCATCTTTTCCTAAATCAAAACTAAGATCAGTACACAAATCCTTACTTCATTATCACGCCATCTCACATCATCATAACTTCTTTCACAAAGTTTGCAGCTGTCCCGACATTTCTTGCTGCATCACGGTTCCATGCAGTTTTATTATCTTCTGTGTCATTATTAATGCAGCTGACCACATCATCTCTTGTTGCCTTATGGTCCCATGCAGTTTCATCATCTTCTGTTTCATTATAAATTCAGCTAACCACATCATCTCTTGTTGCATTATAGTTCCATGCTGTTTCATTATCTTCTGTTTCGTTATTCATGCAGCTGACCACACCATCTCTTGTTGCATTATGGTCCCATGCTGTTTCATCATCTTCTGTTTCGTTATTAATGCAGATGATTACAGCATCTGTTGTTGCATTATGGTCCCATACAATTTCAACATCTTCTGTTTCATTT